CCGCGGTCACCTGCACTCATGTGTACATACCCACACATAGACACATGCATATAATTAAAAGTAAAATATATTTGTTTGCCATAGCTGCCAGGTCCCCTGGAACCATAGTTACAGACAGTTATGAGCTGCTATGTGGGTGCTTGGAATTGAACCTGGGTCCTCTGGAAGAGTAGTCAGTGCTCTTAACCCCTGAGCCATATCTCCAGCCAGTAAAATATCTTTTCGAAAGGTTGATAGTGGCTGAGGAACATCTGAGGTTGTCCTCTGGCTTCCACACTCACACTTCACACACGTACACAATCACACACACACATGCATATGCACACTAAATAGAATAAATATAGCAACATAAAGTATGACATTGTTAAAAATTGCTGTTTAAAATAAAAGTTATTTTAAACTTAGGAATTACTTATATCTGGAATGTTCTGCTGATCACTTTTGAACTAAGGCTGGCCATGGAAAGTGAAACTGGATTAGGGGAGGACACCTCCTGTCAACAGATACCAGGATTTGTTCCTGTCCCCGCTCCCACCTCCCTGTCCCTGTTGGTAGAGCTCTTTTGTCCTCTGTGGCAGAGTGGAAGATGGCAGTTTTGTCTGTTTGCTGTATTTGCTGGCTTGCTTGTTTATGACAGGGCTTCAAGTGGCCCGAGCTGGCCAGACTCTATCCTCCTCCCTCCCACAGTAGAATGCTGGGACAGACAGACAAAGGAAGGCTGGTGAGCTGCCCAGTATGAGAGGGGCTTGTCCTCACATCCCACTTAGTGGAAGGAGAACCTCCTCATACAAGCTGCCTTCTGCCTTCTACACAAGCATCAGAGCGTGAGCACACACAATACTAAACAATAAACAAATATGGGGGTGACATTTTTATTTAAATCCAGACAGGCATGGTGGTTCACGCCTGTATCCTCTTTTTTTTTTTTTTTTTTTTTTTTTTTTTTTTTTTTTTTTTTTTTTTTTTTTTTTTTTTTTTTTGTCCGAGACAGGGTTTCTCTGTGTAGCTTTGGTTCCTGTCCTAGCACTAGCTCTGTAGTCCAGGCTGGCCTCGAACTCATAGAGATCTGCCTGTCTCTGCTTCCCAAGGGCTGGAATTAAAGGCACGAAGCGGTGCCACCACCCAGCTCACAACTGTATTCTCAGCAGGACACTGAGGCAGGAGGATTGCTGCAACATTGAGCTCAGCCAAGGCTGTGCTGTAAGACTCAGTCTTAGGAGAAAACAAAACAAAAAAAAAAACAAACACAGTGGCCCGCACTCTGTGGAGTGCAGAATCAAGCATCTGAGAGGCAGAAGCAGGCAGTTTACTACAAACCTGAGGTTAGCCTGGGGCTATAACTGGAGTTCCTTGGAGTTCCAAGCCAGGCATGGCTACCGATTAAGGCCCTATCTGAAAAGTAACCCCCCTCCCAAATAAATTTTAAAAGTTAGATGTATAACCGGTAAGATCAAAGGCAAACTATCTCAGGCACAGTTGGATCCAGGAGATCAAATCTACTTCCATGGCTGATGGGGCCAGGCAAGGGCTCAAATGCTGTATTTGATCAAAGGTGGGTGGCTGCGGCTTCCTCTGCATCCAAGAGCAGGGTTGCTAGGCAGGTAAATGACTTGGAACAGGAAGCCTTTGGCTTTGGGCCTAGCAGGCTGCTACTTTAGAGTGAGGTACTACCTCTGGGACTCCTTGACCCTGGAGACTGACTCCACAGGCATGAGACCCACCCAGTCCTTTGTCAACAAACCAAGCTGATCTTAAACAAGTCTTGAGTCTGCCTCATGGGCAAGTAATCTCCACACTCCAGCCTGCCTTCCTTCCTGAGCCGGCCCTGCCCACAAAGACCAGCCAGCAGAAAGCCCAGCCCTCTTGGTGGCCATCCAGAAGAGCAGGTGCAAAGGGAAAAAAAAGACTGTCGGACACACGGACTCTTTGACTCACGGGAGAGGGCGGGAGGCAGGATCTTTAGCTGGCCTTGAGAAAGCCAGACATGGTCGGCAAGGTAAAAGCTCTACCAATCTTAGTTTGGGTTCTGGAACCATGATAGATGGAGAGGATCAATTCCCTAAATCTGACCTCCTAACATGCGGAGGGTGCGGAACTCATGATCAGGACCTGTAAGATGGCTCAACAGGTAAAGGTACCTGCTACCAAGCCTGATGACCTGAGTTCAATCTCTGGAGATTTACAAGTTTGAAGGAGAGAACTGACTCCTGAAACTTGTTCACATGTTATAGCACTTAGGCCCCTCCCAAACAAAAAATTTAAAGTATACACATGCACACGCACGCATGCACACTCACACACGTGCATGACTCACACATGCACACATACACGCACACAAGTACACACACATGCACACACGCGCACGCGCACACACAGGTGCAAGCGCACACACATACACACACATGCACACGTGCCACACACGCACGCACACAAATGCCATTGATGACCAAGCGGTTAAGCGCATCTGTGGTTCTTGCAGAAGACTGGGATTGCTTCTCAGACCCACACAGTAGTTTACAACTCTCCGTAACTCCAGTTCCAGGGGCCCTGATGTACTCTTCTGGCATGTAGGCAAAACACTCTTATACATAAAATTAAATAGATCTCAAAACAGGAAAAAGTCATCAAGGTTCTGTGCACGGTGACCTACGCTCTTAATCCCAGCACTTAGAGGTGGGGGCGGGTATCCTTGTGAGTTCAAGGCCACTCTGGTCTACAAAGAGAATTCCAGGGAACCCAGGGCTACAGAGTTAGACTTTGTCTGGGGGGAGGGGCGGGAGTCACTGAGATCTAGACTGCATTTATTCTGTCCTCACACACACTGGTTCCTAGCCAGAGGCGGCGTCTGGAGGTCCAGGTTCATGCTTCATCCTGCTATTTCTTGGCTGGTGCTTTGAAAAGGTTCTGTGCCTCAGTTTACCTTTCACCAGTGGGGATCATTACAATACTGTCCCCTTATTAGGATACTTGTTTTGCTCTTTTATAAGACAGAGTCCCTCTACATAGCCCTGGCTGATTGGGACTGACTCTGTAGACCAGGCTGGCCTGGAACACAGAGAAATCCTCCTGCCTCTGCCTCCTGAGTGCTGGGATTAAAGGTGTTCGGCACCATGCTCAACCTTTCCTGAGATTCTTGTGAGCGATGAACAAAAACAAAGGGATTTTGCAGAGTGTCCATCCTGGATCTGCCTTTTTCTAACTCTGACTTTGGGACCGAGTCATTTCCTTTCCCAGTGACTCGGTTTCTCTACCTCCCCCAAGTTTTGATGGGGGCGTTTGCAGCAGGCTGAGTTGAGTGCCTCACAGACAGAAAAGGTTAAGGCCCTTTGTTAATAGTTCTGTTAAAGGGATAAGGTGGCAGCCCAGATTGGAGACTGCTAGCTAGCTCAGCTCACAGTTCAATCCCGAATGCTCCACGAGGCCAGGAGCCAGGAGCGACCACCTACATCAGTGCAGCCAGCCTTGTCACCCACAGCTACATAGATAGTTGGAAGCCACCCTGAACTACATGGGACTCTTGTCTCACGAAACAAAACCAAGGTGGGTGGAACGAATGGCTGGGCAGGTAAAGGAATTTGCCACCAAACCTGACCTTCAGAGTTGGGGCTCCGGCACCCACCTGATGGAAGAACCACTCAAAACAAGCTGTCCTCTAACCTTCAGCAGCAGGCATAGCCTGCCAGAACACAAAATAACAAGCAAACAAACAAATAGTATCCGTAACAAGTAGGTCAGAGCCACCTCCCCTCCTTGGGCAGTGCCACCTGGGAGAGGGAGTCCAGGAATGTGACAGGCTGGAGAAGGGACCCTATCCCAGTCCAGGTGGCTCTCTTGCAAGAAACCTCCTAGTACCTGGCCCTCAGGGAGGATTTGGTTATTAGGCAATCCCGCAGCTAAATCCCTTCCCTTTGCTTTCTATTCCCCTCCCTCACCCCACCAAATGGACTTCATCAGCTCCCCTCAGGGGCCCTGAAAATATGAAGAGCCAGGTGGGGGTAGGGAGGAGCGGAGCGTCTAGAAAGAGACAAAGGGGCCAAGTCAAAAACAGCCACTAAGACCAGAGGAGGCTGGTGAGATAGAGAAAGTGGGACAAGGACACCGGGAGAGACTGGTGGGGCCAGAGTCGGGAGTGACTGACTGGTCCAGCCCCACCCAGAGGAGCTCGGCCTACCCGGTCGGTCTGTGCTGCCCCCTGGCGGGAGGTTGTGATCTAAAGAAAGGATACTGGGTGGGAGGGATGCAGAGGCCAGATGTAGGGACAGAAATGTTAAGAGTGACACAGAAAGCCGTAAGACAGAAAACAGAAAATGACAGGGACGCAAAGAGAGATGAAGAGAAACAGACAGACGCACACAGTCAAAGGAATGCTACGAGACATGAGGACCAAATGACACAGGCACACGGATAGACAAAGAAATACCAGAAGCAGAGCGACAGAGAAACACAGGGACGCAAAGGGAAGCTCAAAGATGGTGAGGGAGAGAGAGGGGGGAAAAATCTAGAGAACCTAGGGCAGAGATCAAAAGGAGACCAAGTCCTCTGAGAAGTGACCTCGACACAAGACGGCAGCAGGACTAGATGAAGGGCTGGGGAAAGGGGCGTGGCCTTGTCAAGGGGCGGTGCCTCAGAAAGGGAAGCCCTATGAGAATCCACATACTCAGGCTAACCAGAGGGCAGTGGGGCGTGGTCTGGGCAAGGAGGCATGGCTTCTGCTGGGGGGAGCCGACCGGAAGTCTAGAAGGGGGGTGTGTGACCGCATCTAAGTAGAATGATCAGTAGGGGGCGCAGTGGGCCTTCCCGGAGTTTCTGGGGGCGTGGCTCATTGACAATGGGCGTGGTCACATTGCTAAAGGGGCGGCGCTTAATCCCAGGAGAGGGCGGAGATAGAATCGTGAGTTCGGACAGGTGTGGGACTCGGGAGGGGTGGGGTCATAGCTCCGGGAGAGGGCGGGACCTGAATCCCAGGGTTGGCTTGATGAAGAGGGGGCGGGGCCTGTGACGTCACGAGTCCGGCCCGCTGGTGCTAAGCGAGGGGCCGGGGGGCGCGGATCCTGAGAGCCAGGCGGGGAAAGCTCGGCCAAAAGAACTGATCCGAGGAACCGCGAGCGGCAGGAGCCGGCCTGGAGCCGGACACTTCAGGCCCCTGACCGCTCTCACAGCCGATCGGTGAACGTAGAGTGGTCCCTAGGCACCCCCTGCCCGGGCCCAGTCCCTCCCCGGGCCCCCCATGGCCCGGGCCGCAGTCCTCCCGCCGTCCAGATTGTCACCGACGCTATCGTTGTTGCTGCTGCTTCTGCTCCTGCTCCAGGAAACAGGTGAAAACGCGCGGATGCCTTCCTCTGTCCTTAGAGTGGAGGGAGCTGGGACATCGTTCCCCACCTCACTCCCAGCTCTTCGAGGCCCCTTCCCTCGTGCCACCTTCCTGGCTGTCCCTATTAACCCAGAGATCCCCTCAACACACCCGGTCGGTCTCCGACTCGCCTAACCTCCCTCTCTACACGCCCTCTTAATCACAAGTACCCATTCTAACCCGGGTTTCTGTGCCCCCCCCCCATCTCCTCCGGGGAGGAAGGGGTTAAATCCTTCCCATCCTGCGCCGATCAGTTATCCAGAATCTGGATTTCCGTCTCTGCTACCCGCCTCAGGAATGTGAAGAATGTTCCCCCCACTCACTAGCTGGAGGGTCGTGATGATGAGGGACGACACCCGCCTCCCCCCCCTTTTTTTCTTTTGGCTGGGTTGGGCGTCTGAGGCCCGGAGAGAATTGGGCGCGAGGGGACTCTCGGTCGAGGTTCCCTAGACCAAGGGTAGGGAGCTCGGGTCTTTGGGGGCCCCAGCAAGCCAATGATGAGAGTTGGGGGCACTCTGAGGGGGAAGGGTGTGAGTCCTGAGTGCAAACCTCAGGCCTCAGGGAGTTTATAGGCGCTGACCACCGTTTCTGGAAAAATTAAGAGCTGAGGGGTTCTGCCTCCAGGATTTTAGGAGATTCTAACCGGGATCTAGGTAGAATTGGGGGAAAGAGGGATTCAAACTTGTGGGTCTTGGGTTTAATTGTGGCCGAAGAGCTCGTTCGTTGGGGGTCCAGGGATAGTTGGAGGCCAGAGGCACACTATGTTGGCAGCTGAGGATTTAACTATAGGTAATGGAATTTAATGACCGGGGACTCTGACCTTTAACCCCAGATATAAACAAAGGCTAAAAGGCTCTGCCTGGAATTGCGAACTCCGTCGGCCGTGTCCCGGTACAATCGGAGGCCGGGAGGTTTGCAGTTGTCCCTTTCCCTGTGAGCGCCTAGTGGCGACGTCCCTGGGGAAGTTTTCCGGTATCGCTTTCACCTAGTTTGGGAGGGGCGGGGCGGGGCTGGAGCGCTCCAGAGTCCCTACTCCCGGTTTCGGGACTTTATCTTTCCTTTGGTCACGCCTTTGTCCTCGAAGCACTTAGAGAGGTAAATGGGAGGAGTCTTCTCCCTAAAGCACGCGCCCCTTCCCCCCCCCCACACTCCTGGAGGAGAAAGGCCCCCAGGGAGGCTGGGGGTGGGGTGGGGTAACAGGTGTGCTGACCTCGCCCCGCCCCTAGCAGGTGACCAGGCTGTTTCTTCCTATGGCAAACTATGGGACTGGGGGGCGAGGAGTTTTCGGAGCCTTTCCTCAGAAAAGGGGGGCAGGGATCAGAGGGATCTTTGGGAGAATGCCTATCACTTCTTTGGCTTCCTTTTCCATTCCAATACTTCCTTTGAGGTCATAGGTCTTGACCTCTAAGCTCCCGCCTCTGTCTCAGCGCAATGGGATCAGAACCTGCCACTCTGGGTGAATTCTCAAAACCCACCGGAACCCCCAAGCCAAGCGCTGATTTGAGTGTGAGCCTACAGAACAGTCCTCAGAAGCCCAAAGCAGAACTCGGTCCTCTTCTCAGTCTGCAAAGGAGGAGACCGAACAAACACACTCTTTCCCAAGGTCCACTCTGTCCCTGGGAGGCCTTTGAAAGCTCGACAGGTTCCCCCTAAAGTGCTTCCTGTTTTCTAGACTGTCCCTTCTCTGCAAGACCTGGGGGGGATTCCCAGGTGCTGGGCATACCTGGAGAAAGCTGCAGCCCTTCCTAACCACCTGCTCCTACCTCTCCACTTCCTCATTCTCTCTCTCTCTCTCTCTCTCTCTCTCTCTCTCTCTCTCTCTCTCTCTCTCTCTCTCTCTTTCTCCCCTCCTTTTCCTTTCTCCCTTCTCCCCTTCTTCCTTCCCACCTTCATCTCTACTCTGTTTCTTATCTCCCCTCGCCTTTCCCTCCATCTCTGTCTCCTGCCCCTGGCCCCTCAGGTCCCCCCCCCCCACAGGCCTCCTTGGGGAATGGGACTTTCACCACCTGGACCTCCTGCCTGAGCCTGCTCCTCTCTCCCCACTCTTCCCCATCTTTCTCTGCTCATCCTTGTCTGCCAGGCAGCCCCACACAGAGGTGGGGGAGGGGAGGAGAGGGGACTGCAGGCCTGGCTGTCTCTTCTCGTTAGAGAAGGGGCACTGAGCAGAAGAGAAAAGGGGGGACAGGGACAGGAGCCAAGAGAGGGAGGACAGAATCAGATCTAAGGATGGAGTCACGCACAAAGAATGAAGATCCGCAAGGGAGGGCAGAGGGGGCAGGGGTGTAGGCAGGGAGATCCGAAGGGCAGAGAGGTTTGGTGACAGGAGAGAAGACCAAAAGACCCCAGCCATGAGACTGTCGAGATCCTGTGACCTGGAGAGGTCATAGCACAGGCCAGTCTCAAGGACAGCCAGTGTGGAGGGGCCACAGGGAGTTATAGACACAGGAGGGACAGGGAGTCTTGCACAAGGGCCAGCTCCCCTGCCCCCGCCTGGGATGCTGTTACATTTTTAATGTCCCAGCAATGCTGAGAAACAGAACAGGAGGGGGAGGAGGAGAGAGACCCAGAGGGATGGCCTAGGCAATGAGAAAGTGTGTCGGGAGATGTGGATTGGTGTGGGTGCTGGACACGCAGGGACACGGAGATCCCAGGTCACCAAAACAGAAAGGCAGGAGTGGTGACCACATACCTGTAACTCCAGCACTCTGAGGCAGAAGAAGGCTGAGGCAGTAGAATTACAGGGAGTTCAAGGCCAGGCTGAGCTACATCTAAAAGACCCTGTCTTCAAGAAGAGTGGTGGAGGCAGGCCTGTGTGTAATTTTAGTGGGGGAGGCTGAGGCAGCAGAATCTGAGCCCCAGGGCCAGCCTTGGCTATAGAGCTGAGGAAGGAAAAGAAAGAGATGGGCTGGCTGGGGCTCAGTTGGTAGAGAATGCTTACCTAGCTTGCATGGAGCCCTGGGTTCCATCCTCAACCAAAGCAGGCATGGTGGCCCAAGACTGTAATCCAAACGTGAGTTCAAGATTACATGGCTGCATAGTGAGACTGAGACCAGCCTCGGTTACCTGAGACCTCTCAGAAAAGAGGGGCGCAGACAAGCTGGGAATGCAGTCCAGGCCATAGTACTTGCCTGACGTGTGAGGCCTAGGGCTCGATCCCCTTGCACCAAATGAATCTCCAGTGGGAGTGTACACCTGTAATCCCGAAAATGGAAGGTAGAGACTTCCTATGGCAGAAGTTCGAGGTCATCTTGGCTATATAATTAAATTCAGACCAGCCCGTGCTGAACAGAGACCCTACGGCAAAAACAAAATTGTCATTTTGTGTTGTGGTGGCACACGACTTTAATCCCAGGACTTGGGAGGCAGATCTTTGTTCTGAGTTCAAGGGCATCATGGTCTAACTAGAATTCTAGGACAGCCAGGGCTACATATTAAGTCTCTCTCTCTTCATATATATATATGTAGCCCTGGCTACATATTAAGATAGAGGCAGGAGTCTGGTTCTTTGGGAGGAAGAAGCCAAGGGGTAGGTAGAGAAGGGAACAGATCCCAGAAGCAGAAGCATGACCTGGACACAGGCAAAGGCTAGAGCCTCCTGGGACTGGGATGTACACAAAGCACTAAGGTGGCCCCTCTTGGCAGGATATGGGAGTGGTCTGCCCAGGGCCCAGCCAGAAAGAGCTTTGGAGGCCTTTACCCTGATGAGTCTGCACTTCCACAGGGGAAGTCCTCTGGAAGCTGAACCCTGTAGCAAAGGGGCCAGAGGGGCCTCGTGTAACCCCCGAGTGTTAAAGCTGAGCTGAGGCCCACATAGAAATCCAGACACAGCCTGGGCCATGTATCCTGGCAGCACTGGTTGCATTCTCACCCCTCAGACCGGCTCCGGATGTCCGCTGTGGGGGTGGGAACCATGATTAATGTAATTAATTAATTAACCAGGTGGCTGAGGCAGCAGCTGATGCCAGTGCTCCAAGCACGCTGGCCATGAAGGGTTTGCTCCAGGCCTGCCCCACCTTGCCATGGTTGGGTTTAGGCACACCGGGTTTTATAGGTGTGCAGGGGCCAGCGGAGACTTGAGGAGTCAGCCAGCCAGGCAAGAATCTAAGACGCCAGGAATTCAGACTCAAGCCTTCATCCCCAAGATCCGGGGTTCTAGATCCCCCAACCTCTCTCCTGACCTGAAGTATAGGACCCAGCCCTCCTCCCTCAGGCTAGGAGACCCCAGCTCCAACCCTCCCCCCTGTGTCTTTGCTCACCCTAGGCTTTCCTAATGCCAGAGGCAGTCCCCACTCTGGCCTCCAGGAAACCAGTCCTCAGGGAGAGGAAGTGTGTTTGAGGACCCAGCTGAAATCACTGTGGATCTGTCACCAGTCAGCCTTGCTGAGGAAAGCAGAGAGAAGCAAGTGTTCCCACGGCCATTTTCTGGCCACTGTCTCTGGGGCATGGTGTTGGCGGTGTCCCTGCAAGGTCAT